ACTCTAACCATTTTAAGAAATCTTATAATAAAGAAATATTATGTTTTTCTCATATCTGACAAATTTTTAATTTATATATGTATATATTAATTTCAATTTTTATTTATTTGACATCATTTTTGTTTTGTATAAAATTTTGTAATATAATATCATTATACTTATTTTTATTTTATCGTTAAAGACTTAAATTTTTATTTGCTCTTATTTGAAGATAAATTACATATTTTCATCAGCTTACTTTATTTTTGGGTACACATTTAGTATTCTTATCATTATCCTTAAGATTTTATATAATTGGTCGATTTTCAGTAACAATGTACACCTTTCACTAAAATTAATTATAAATTAATAACTGAATACAATTTTCATCGTGTTATAAAACTAAGAAATCTGATATTAAAATTGCTGGTTGAAAAATTTATCAATAATCTATTAAAAGAATAGTATCAAAGCTTAGTAATTATTTTATATTACTAGGTATCAAAGTTATGTGTTTAATAAATCTGGTTTACCTAGCGTTTAGTAGAATTATCTCATCTACAACGTAAAAATTAAGTAACTCGAAGATAACAAATTTTTAGGTAAAAGATATTAAGCTATTATCTATAACTTGATACTTCTTTTTAATTTATATAGCATTTTGAGCTATCTTTTGTAGATAACTGCAATATGCGATAATGAGTATGAGAAAGACGTGAAAGTCTGCATAAGTCGATAGAACGAAATTACGTAATTAATTTTAATTTTGGAATAATCGCAGATTATTTCAAGGTCATATAGTTTTACCAAATCGGGGTAAGAGAAGTTACCATTACGTTTACGAGCATGATATGTATTTACAAACGTCACTTTAGTAGCTTTACCCAGAGTAATTGTATAATAAAACTAGAAAATTTTCTATTCCTTATAATATTCTAATAAACATGTTACAAACTGAACAGCCAAACTTTTCCAATAATTTCGAAACTAATCTTATTTTGGTTTTATTAAAATTTTTCGAAATTCATGTTTCATAGGCGAATTGTCAAATTACAAATACTAAAAATACATAGAATGAAAGATATTTATTATTTGCTTCTAAATTTTCATATTTAATTACCAAGTGTGTTTATATAATAACACGAACGTCTAGGATCAACAATTTTTTACGAGAATGGTACAATCTACGACTTTGTTTAGGTTAGGTCAGAGACACAGTCTGAGTACCTAAATAAATAAAATATATTATTACGAAGCAATCTCGTTATATAGAAATACGTGTTAGACTCGGTAAACTTAACGATTATTATAATGCATAAAGTTTGCCGCAAGCAACCATATTACACTTGGGAGTACTTTTATGCGATGAGAGGATACCGTGTAAAAAAGGGTATGTAAAAAGAGTGATGAAATTATTGATTGCCAACAAAGTATAAAACTGGTTTTAAAAAGTTATACAGAAAGTAACGCGGTGCATAAGTAATTGTACAAAGGTAAACAAATTCTGTGTAGAAGATTTTAATCTATAAAGGAAAATAACTCGTTAATTGTTTATTATATAAAAATTGTGTAAACAAAGTCAACTTCATTATTGCTTCATGTATTTTATTGAAGAATTTGTGAACTCGTTCATTTCATGTATTCAAAATCATTAGCTTAATTGTTAATATCACAATCTTATAAATTAATTATTTTTTAACATGAGTGGTCTAGTCAAAATTATCAATTGAATCGATTGGTTCATTAAAAATGATATAATTCCATTAAAAAGAAATAAATGTCTTGTACGTAATTGACTTTCATATAACTTAACATTGAAATCCTTTTACAAATAGTTTCTATGCAGCAAACAGTTAACAAATAATTTTCATTCGCGAATTAAAATAAGCCACCTAACGAACGATAAAGTAAAAAAAGAACAAACTATATTTGCTTAAAAAAGATAAAATAAGAGTCGCTATTTTAATTTTATTCCAACTATATATTAAACAAGTTTGTCATTTGATGACTGTAGTTATTTTGCAGCTGTTAAATATTAGAATCTAAGCGTTTTCGTATGTTCAACAAGACAGAACATCATAAGTATCGAAATTAGTTTATAATGCGTTTATGGATTGACCAGAGACTCGTGTTTATAATTTCACTGGTGTTTATGAATCGTATCAGCAACCGTTCGGCCATTACAAAACACCGCATGCAGCGCCACGCGCGGCTGATACCGGAACCTCCGAGAAAGCAGTGCTACCACCTCGTCAAAAAAGGAAATAGAAAATAACGTTAAAGTGAAATTCACAATTAAGCAATCATTATAAGTACGTTAATATTAGGCTGAAGAATGTTTACTCGATTATAAATTACTATTTCAGTGTTCGTCTTTAACTTTATTTTATTTACAAACTCGGCAAACTAGGATGAGAAATTTTTATTATTCGAATATATTCTGTTTTGACGCGATACAAATTTTCATATTATACTATTTTTCTGCAGAGTGTCCCAGCAACAGTAGTACAATCGGGAAGGGGGTGACTCTACACGCAGAAACGAATCGAAAAGAAGGAATAAAACTTTTTGATTCGAAGCTTCGTTTTCACGAAAATCGACTTTGAATATTTACTGAGTGCGCTGATATACCGATACTCCATCGGCCTTAGCCAAAGTTAAGTGCACGCGTACTCGGTGAATATTCAAAGTCGATTTTCTCGACAACGAAGCTTCGAATGAAAAAATTGTATTCTTTATTTTCGATTGGTTTTTTCGTGTAAAATCACTCCCTCCTCGGTTGTACCACCGATGCTGATGTATTTATGACCCATACATCTAACAAGGAGAGTGCAAGTCCTTCGGGTCACCGATTTAACTGAAACTTTTTAGGTTTTTAGATTTCGTCATGCTGTCCAAGAATATATACCATTATACCCGCCACTACTCAATAGTTTTCAAGATATTTACGATTAAAGTTTTATTGCTTCTGTAACTACAGATTTATTAAATCGGTGTTTCAATTAAAGTTTCAATTAAATCGGTAACTCGAAGGAATTGCACTCTCCTTGTAAGCCATAGCTACGTGTACGTGTACTCGGTGAATCTTCAAAGTCGATTTTCTTCTTAGATTTAATTCTTCGAATAACAAAATTTTATTCTTTTTTTTTATTCATTTCTGTTTGTAGAATCACCCCTTTCCCGGTGGTACTGCCGTTGCTAGGACACCCTGTATATCAATATAAAACGTATTTTTGTATTATCTTTTATATTATTATCATACAATATCAGAGAAACTGGAAAAAATTTTTAAATTTTAAAAATTGTGAAAAGAAAAAGAGAAATCTATTTCGTACATTGAAGTGAAAAATTGAAATGTGATAGCGAATAGATATTATTTCTCAAAAATCAAAGAGTTATACTGAAATACATTATCGAAAAATTAGGTACACGGTGCATGGTTCTTGGAAATACGTGTACCTGTTAAATGACTGTTTTATCGATGTACCAACTGTACACTGTCGTAACACTGTTACAAACGTAAACAAGCAAATCGTGCAATGAATTCGTCGGCTGGGCAACATTTACTGCCAGTGAGGGAGCAAACGCGAATTGTATGGCGGTTTAAAAAGCGGAAGAACATCAATTTGCTGAGCATTTATGGCGAAAGTCGCCGACAGTTGGCGAAAGCATTTATCCAGCAATTTATGCGATGCATGAAAGAAGAGGACATAAATCCAAGTCGTATTTACATTGTATAACAGAAACAAAACGAGATCAATATGGAGAACTATATCATGGAAAATATTAATTAATCCGAAGGAGAAAAAGTATTTGACAATAAAATTGTGGCAGACCTAGCGTGCATTGAACTATGTGTCATGCAACAGGAACACGTGAATTACTTTCGACATTTATACATAAATATGAAAAGCTCAGAGTTCTGGAACGCGTTAAAATTCACGAGTTACGTGTTGTATATAAATAAATGCGATGTAAATGTATACCAAAAAATACTTGGGTAGGATCTGTTGTATTTGCAAGTTGGTTAGAAAGTCGCATCAAACATGACGTAAAAAAAAAGGGAAAAGAGGAAAAAGAATTCTATGTGGATAGAAGTTATAGAAAAATTGTAGTATCGATAAATAACTGTATAAAAAGCAGCTAGAAAATTTAATCTAATGGTTTGCAATATTTTCATATGCAGCATTTGTATCTGCTATTGATAACATTCTTGTGACATAATGAAAACAAAATTAATACTTCATTTTATTAAATAAATGACATAATTTGTAAACGAACTGATTATTATATATGACAAATATTAATACTTAAACAAGCAAAAAACGTAATTAAATATAGTTTCCATAGCTTTTTATGCAAACAATCTCATAATATACAGAAATGTTCCCTCCAAATGTAAACAATACAACTCTAAAGAGATAATACTATACGACTATAAAAAGATGAAGAGATGCAAAGATAGATAGAAAAGACAGGTAGAAAAATAAAAAGGTAGATAAATATAAGATCCTGAAAAAGATGGACAAAATTTTATTAAACATTACTATGCATTTTGCGAACTTAAAATTAAAATACTTTTTAAATTAGTCATTTTCAAAAACAAGTATCCATGTACTTTCTATATAGGAATGAAATGAATATATCAATTATTACATATTTTTTAATAGGAGTTGAAAGATATATAGATGTGTGAAAAAATTTAAATAAAATTGGAATTATAAAATTATGATGTATATAAAATATATTCATTTTATTGGAGAATTACATTTTATATATGATACAAATAATATCATAAATTTTGAAATCTTTATACTGTTTTCACTTCTGGAGCAAATAAGTTTATATAAATGACATATCCTGCATAACATCGTATGTTGTTAATAACATACCCTGTTGTTAATTAGTAATATGTGAAAATTAATAATATATGATTATTACTAACTTATAAGATTAATAATATGAGAAAAATTATGTGACACTAACGCAAAAACGTATTATTTTTTGTTGTAGATTTCAAAATGGGTTGTTTCGGAAGCAAAGATAAGTTGAGCAAAGAAGACATGGATTTTCTTAAATCACACACAAGATATGACGAAGCAACTATAAAAGAATGGTATAAAGGATTTAAAGTAAGTGTGCATTTACTTTACACCAGTATTATTCCTGTACCCTTTATCACTCTGCAATGACACCTCCGGCTAAACTGTGTCTTAAATTTCAAGAGAAAAATAGAGTCTGACGTGACTGTTTTCTCAAAATTTTATCAGATGTAATCAATCCTGCGTCCAAATTATTTACACGGTACGAAAGCACCCGTTATCAGGGATAGAAAGCAAAGGATGGAATAAACAAATGTGAGTGAATGAAGCTTTGATCATTTATACAATTGTAGCCATTACCCATCCATCGTTAAATAAGAGCTATAGAAACGTGAAATATCTTTAGAGCTCATTGTTAAACGGTTTGCCGGGTATAAATCTGATTCTTGAAGGATTCTCCTCTTATCCATCAAACCGACTTCACGAGTGTTTCCTCAAGTTTATTCGATCAGATAAAAATAAATAATCCGCAGTAGCTTGGACTGAGTAAGTTTTCATTGCCTTCGTAGAAAATACCTAACTTCGCTCTTAATTGAATTTTAAAATAGATCTAATAATTTCAACAAATTTTCATTTCCTGGAAAAGAGAATATAGTAAAAATTCAACAATTTTGAACGGATTATCTGATAATAATTTTTATTTCGTATATTTCTCCTGATTTTTACGCATTGGAGATAATTTTAAATTGTTTTTCATTAACGTGATCAATAAATATGGGAAAATTCGTTTTTGTATAAACAAAATGCAAGAACAAATTTTATGTCAAATGAGCAATTATGATGAAACATTAATGACAGAAAACTTTAAGTTGATTATGATTCTTTGGTATATCTAAAGATACATTTATCAACGACAATTAATTGCAAGATAATTATTAATAAATGAGTTAATCATTCGTAAATTTTTAGTGAATAAATTATATAGATTATATAGATATTTTAACCTTTTGGACTCGAAGATTTCTTCGTTGTGAAGATGCAATTCGAAGCTCTTCTTTGATTCTTATAAGCTCACTGATACTCTTTATGCTAAAATTAAAAAAGGAAATCGTGAATTTGCGTGAGAAACGAACGAATAGAATAATTTTATTTCGATGTTCTTAATATAATTATCATCATCCGTTATTTAAGTTATAGCATTAAAACAAACGGTGACTGAGAGTCACCTCTCGAGTGCAAAGGGTTAATAAGTAGATTTTATTAATTTAATAAAAATAAATAGAATTTATTAACTCTTTCCATTTATTTAAATTTATTTGCAAACTAAATGTACTATAGAAAAATATTTCAAACGAAAATTGTTTGATATGAAGAGCATACTATATAGTAATTAGTTTCTTGTAATTTTCCATTTTTTATCAAAAGATGAAGATGATACTATTGATCGCAGTGAACCACATTTTGCTCGTTTCCTACATTAAAAATTAAATAAATTTTGGTAATTATCAATATTTGACCTCGTATACTTTACACATTTTTTATTCTACATGTAGTATTTTTTTGACAGTGAAATGTAACACGACATGGTCAAGAAACTCAAGCTGACATGTATATTTTGATAAAAAAGTGGAATAATAAAAAACTATTTATTGCATTGTGTACTCTGTTTTATGTCGATCAACTTTCGTTCGAAATATCTTTTTATACAGCATAAAGTTTACAAATAAATTTGGGTGAAAGAGTTGATTGACTCACCTTGTGTATCAGGAATAGATTTTATCAAAGAAATTCCAAAAGAAAACTTGTCGTGAATTTGATTGATGTATATAAGATGTTATCGCTTCATTCTACTCTTAATTATGATGTTATCGTTTTTAATTTAATATACGTATCTCGAACTTCGGCTCTTCCAGTCTATATAAAGGCCCATTTCCAAGACCAATCTTCCCAACGCATCTCCCGTGATAATTAATGTTTACAAAAATAATATTTATCAACCTTTTAACCTTTTGTTTACGATCACACGATATATTTCCTTTACGTAAACCGTATGCAATATATAAATTGCGAAAAATTAAAGCTATATTTTTAATAATAACTCAATCCTTTAATAGTAACACAAATTTCCTATTAATTTTAATTATAAATTTCCTAATAATTTTACCTGTTATTATTATTTACCTATTACTATTACCTATTTACTATTTTAACTATTTAACTACACCAACTGTTTAATTATAATAAACGAATTCGTCAGTTTATAATGAGTTAATTTTGATCGTTTCGCACTGCTAAATTTTCGCAAAGATGTTAACAGCAGTAGGTAATTTCGTTTGAAAAGTACGAGACAAATCTTTGACCTCAGAACTTTATTGCCCAGTTTTTTCTTTCTCACTCTGTACATGTATTGTACGTACGCGTGACCAACATGAAAAATCGGTTTTCCCGTTCTATTTCCGGTTTTAGCGAAGTACCAACGTGAACACAACCAATGTAAACTATAGCACCGTGCCCCGCATTTTAGTGCTAGTGATTGCTCTGCGCAAGGGACTACTACGAAGTGACAATCGCCAATTCCGATGAAACTTTGGTATAAGGTAGTTTTCCAAAAAGCATTATAGACGTATATCTCCGTTATTGGCAATCGTCCATATCTCACAGGTGAAAATTGCTCTAAAAATTGGAGCCAGTAAACCTATTTGATCCAATATCTCGGAAATTGACGGATATAGGAAAATCATATAAATAGATGAATTTTGTATTTGTCACTGGTGAATTTGACACTTGAACTGGCAACTCGTATCTAAATATTTTTATAGATAGACAATAGTAGTTACAGTGATATTTATTTAATTAAAGTTTTATCTTGTTAAAAATCAATATTAATTTCGTCGAAAACAATTTTATGATTTTAATAATTGGAACGACAAATTGATTGAAATCAGTTACTGCATCTGATTTGATACTTGTATACTATCAAATTATACTATAATAGACAATGATTTATCAAATATAATAAACTTTTTTAAATATTCTAATTACTCGTCATTTTTATTTTTCCTAATGAAGATTCGTCCATATTTATGCAAGTTATGTGCATAGCAATTATGAATATAAATTAAGGAAATAATTCTTTGCAATTTTCTACTTTTTTCTATTTATTGAAAACTGACGTTGCACTGATTATCTAATTATTGAATTTATTCTTATATTTTATTATTTTGTATATTATTTTAATTACTTTTAATAGTAAACAGGTTATAGTAATAAGCAATCTATTTTTGCTACGAATTATATTATACAGAATAGTCCATAAATTAAAGATCACCATATTTGAATAGTTTCTAACAATTTACCAACGAGATATCTTGACAAAAATATAACGATATTAAATAAAAAATTTATTTAAGAAGAAACAAATTAATCTTCACAATTGCATAACTACTTGCAGTATAACTATAATTATAGTAAGTGTCCAAATTGCATCCCTCCTTTTGCCCTTTAATAATTAAATATACGAATTTAAATCGTAGAATTGATTACACATTTTTGCATATTTGTATTATTCACTCCTGAAGTTCTTATGTATTATTAATTAATTATTCTTAATTTCGGGTCCCATTGACCACAGCCACCATAGGAAATAGAAATCTATAAGATTCATCAATGACTCATTTATTTTGAAAATGTCAGTATTATGTATAGGCGACGAAGTCGTAGATAATAATTTAAAAAATAAATTACATTATTGTAATGTCAGTTGATTAAAATGAAATATGCCACTGCATTATTAAATTTGACTGTCTCTCTAATTTGAGAATATGGTAATGAATTATTTTTGTCGGTAATTCTGAAAATGATTTAAATCAAAAATGTGAAAGAAATTGTTTTATCGCATATTTTATATTACCTTCATTTATATTACAATACAATACTGTTGCTGCGAAAATAGCGAAGAATTAAATCGTCAGACTGAATTTGTAACTTTGTTGTAATTAAATTTTTTAATTTATAACATACTCTAAGCACGAGACATTTAATATTTCAAAACGAAACATATGTGACTTAGGCCACTTTCATAAACACCAATACATTGTGAAATACAAAATAATCCCAGTTTCTTATGACAAAATTATATTTTTCAAATTTCTTTCATCTGTAGATTTGTCATTTAGTGCTAACACACTTTTTGTTTAAAATATTGTTTTGTTAAATTATTAAGAACTGTTCATAGATCCTGACAATATGATGAACAAACTAAGAATTGTTTTTGAAATTTATTTCAATTTTGCAGAAAAATGGACATTTGTGTCTTCTTCAACGTTGTATCGTTAATTATTTTTAGTATATACAAAATCAGTACATTTCTAATGCAGACTACCACCATTTCTTATTTATTATTGTAATATAATCATATAAAGTATTGAAAATTAAGTTCACAATTTCTCATTGCTATAAAAATTAATTTATTTTAAATCGCTAATCGTAAATTTGAGACTGTCATTATCTCCCGTATTAAGTACTTAAAATGTCGTATAGGTTATAATTACAGAGATTATTCTAGTTATATAACTCGTGCATGGTGTCGTACACGTGGCGCCATCTCGCGTTATTCTACAAGATTGGATCATGGCGGAAAATAGTTTGTCGAATTTACGAGCTCTGATGAGAGCCCCGAAGCACAAACTCCGAACGCTGATTACAAGACTAGGCTTGTTAAACGATAGTGATGTTGGTTACCGTTAATCACTAGTTCATGGTGTTTCATGGTGTTCGAAGCAAAACTTACTGTTATCGTTCGAAGTAGAACTAATTTATTTGACAAGCAGACTAAGAATCGAAACAAGATTTAACCTCCTTAGAGAAAGTGAAATTTAACAAGATTAAAACGGACACAAATATTTCAAATTGAGAAAGAAATACAAACTTTTATGGGTTGTAATTCAGTTAATTCTAAATTCTATTGAAAAACCGAAAGTAAAATAGAAATTAAAATATTGGAAAATTATTTGTACGAATAAAAAGTATGTAAAGCTCGAATTTATAAGAATAGATATTAAGGAATATTCGAAGATTCGAGTTCATGCTTT